TGTATATATAAACAAAGAAGTTACATGGATTCAACAAAAATATTCTAGATATGTGTTAAATGCAATGATTCGAAAGGGACCTTTTGTTTTTCCACCGTGTGTGGGATGTGCAGATTGTGATGGGGAAAAAGTATTTCTAAACCGGTCCCGCTACAGCCTTAATTCTTAAATTCTTGGTTTAATCAATTATCAGTACATAAAGAATGAATGGATGCTGATGGGCCTTAGTCTGCTAAGAAGAAAAACAAATGGGCTTATGGGTACAACAAATGTTGTCAAGCCTGCCATTTAAAAAATTTTAAAAAAAAGTTTAAGGGAAACTTTTGAATCTTTATGGGGAGCATTTATGGATTTTTGTCAACAATGGCCTGATCTGAAGAGGATGTGGACAACTGACAGTTTTTCATACTTCCTCAATAAAGACAACATTAAAAAAAAAAAAAAGCTCCTGCTCTTTTTGAGAATAGTCAAATTGATATCGAATTTTTAAGACCAGTACTGATATTTGGTGGCTTCCAGTGTTCCGAGATATTGGCCAATATTCTTTCGGAAGCACGAAACATAAACAGATTTCCCTGAAATGTTTTATGTGTAGTTATTTGTTTACTCGTTTACGGTAAGCCCAACTCTGCTCAGATAAGATGGTTGTTGTTGTATTTGTGGCGTTCCAAAAACGTTACCAACAGAGAAGTTAGAGTGCCCTCTGGTGGACAAACTATGCAGCGTTTACATTTTACTTTTTTTCTTTTTTCTTTCTTTTAATTGGCCGTGGTAAATGCAGCTACCAGTAGATCAGCAAATGGCTAATATTGGCCGATAACAGGCCTTTCGATAAATCAGTCCCTTTCTAGCAGAGGCACTGTATGTCCAGGTTTTCTGTTTGTTTGTTCTACAGAAATTGTTTTTGTTTTGTTTTTTTAGTTTTGCTTTTGTTTTGCTTTTTTGCCAAAACTCAAAAGAAACTAGAAAAATTTGCATTTCCTGCGAAAATGCTGTGTGGATGCCTTAACGCTGAAGATGTCTGCTGAAAAAGTTGAAAAAAAAAAAAAACAACTTTGCCCTTAGCAGGATTTGAACCTGGCCTTTCTGGTCTCAAGGCAGTTACTCATTTCACTGAGCCAAACTGATTCCCACAAAGAAGAGGTGGAGAGACTGACAATTGTGATGAGATGAGCAGAAGCGGCTGAGAATTGTGCTGATAAGAGGTGAAAAGGCTGAAAACTTTGCAGAAAAGAGGTGAATAAGCAGAATTTGGGCATAAAAGAGGTGAAAATTCTGCTGAAAAGATTTTTTTTCTGAAAACAGCAGAAAAAACTGAAAAATTGTGCTGAAAAGGGGTGAAAAAGCTGAAATTTGTGTTGAAAAGAGTTAAAAAAGTTTAACTGTTAACTGAAAGAAATGTTGCCATAAGCGGGATTTGAACCCGGGCCTCCCAGTCTGAGAACGGATGCTTATCTCACTGAGCTAAAACACAGGTCAACCCGGCAAGGAAAATCAGTGAGGCCACTGATAATATGGCAGAAATGGGCAAAAAATATTGCAAAAAAAAATTCAATATCTCAAAAAGTATAGAAGTTATGAGCACCAAAAGTCATAGCACCCATTAGCAGAAAGAGCAGAATTTTTTAAGATTTGAACGGTGAAAATAGCACAAAAACTGAGGGAGTAGTAGAGGTCCAAAAAACGTATGGAAGCAACTACGGCATCCACACAATTATGAGCCAATCACAAAACAAATCTGTGACCTGTCAACACCCCCAGATGTCATATAGGGTTTTAGTCTGTTTTGGCTGAGCCACAGTGAGAAATTTGTCTCTAAGCCACTCCAGTGTAGTCTCTAACTGCTTTAAGGTGAATCATTGCTCTGATCCCAGGTCACATGCAGGTTTTAAAGGACATCTGTGTCACTTAAATGTGACGGATGAATCCACATGATATGCGGTGAAACTGTTGCAAAACCACATTTTAGGGGGTTTTGGTCCTTTCGCTTAACAGTTAATTTAGTCATAAAGAAAAATAATTATGCACTTATCCCACACTTTTCCTTTAAAGGGAGAACAATACATGTCATGACTTTCTGGAAAACAACAATCCCAGGCTCGCTCTGTGGAACTGCTAAATGCTAGATACTTCGAAGACACAGACAAGAATTGTTTTCTCCAAGCATAACTTGGTTTTCTCCCCAGTGATCTGACTTGATCTTGTTGTTTTCCGTGCCCTTCTGATGTTCAGTTCCACTATTTCTTTTTACCTGTCAACCCATCACCTGTCTTCTTTGCCAGATAGGAAAGAACCGATCATAAAACAGGAAACTATGAGGAAGGGAGTAACTCCCCTTTGACACCCAGTGCACATGCCAACATTCACAATCTCTCTCAACCTTATCCGGGATTGAAGACCGGGCGGTTAGAAAGGAAAAGAAACTAAATACAAACCGAAGGAATTGTCAGAGGCTTTGGTTTCCATGTTT